TACTACAGAAAAAAAGAAAAAAGTGTAAAAAAAATATGTAGATAAAATATTATCTACATATTCAGCAAAAAAAAAAGCTGCCCAAATAACACCTTACTTATTACCAAAGGACCTCTGCATCACTTAGCAGTAAATAAAGTTTCTTTATATCTTATCTGCTGCAGCAGCAAAGGGAAGCTTGTCCTTCACCTTATCAGACCTAAAGCTTTCAGTCGATACCAACAATAACCAGCCTGCTGTTCATTTTCTCAGTCTCTAAATCTTCTCATTTATATTTGTAGAGTCAGATCTTAAAAAGCAGCCTGACCTCTACAGGTCAGAGGTAAAAACTGCTCCATATTGATGTGAGGTAGCAGAAGCAGCGAGATGAGTGATGAGTTCCCTCCAGGACGACAGTCAGCAGCAGAGCATATTAAATCTAGCTGAAACTTGTTGCAGGGATTTCTACCGCTGGTTTAAAAATCTTTTTTCTTTCTAAATCGTATAAATGCTTCCAGCCCTGTTTTAAAGTTGACGCCCTGCAGCGTACCTTAATGAGATGCCATAATTACAGGTTTATAACCAAAGACTAATGCTGTTGGTTGATGGAACATGTCAGAAGTTGATCTGCTGCTCCTTTAACAGAAAATCTTTTCCATGTCAGGAGAAGCTGTTGTTGCTTCTGATCCTGCAGGCCTGTGTTGGCTGGTTCAGTCATTCCTTAGGGGATTTTTCTTTCTTTTCATAAATTCTACCTTTCCCCCCCCCCGACCAGGACTTATGTAACCAGGCTTAGTTTGATCCTGCAGACATTGTTCTGGTCATAAGGTTTTTTTCCTGCTCACATCCCTGCACACCTATTCTTTAGTCTTTGACTCACTTCCATAAAAATTGTAATTTTAACAACACTTATTCCTGCAAATCTTCATCTCTGGGGGATTACAGGGCTGGAATATTTGGTAACCTCTAGATTGTTTTTTATCCTTATTTTTCTCTGCATGCAAGTAATATATTTGGTCGGTTGCCTGAGCTTTCAGTTGGCTTAGTGCCCACACCAGTAACAGATTTCAGAATTGAGACCCTAAAGCTCACAGAGGAGCGGAACACTACAGAAAAGCAAGGGTTGAGGAAAATGTCACTAAAAGCATTAGTTCCATATCTAGCAAGCATGTTATACCATCATGTCTGAAATAACAACGATCCAGCATATTTGGACGCCCCATGCCATCTTTTTCTGTCACACCCAACAGTGAACTTTTAAAGTCGTAGGGAAGTGGCTGTTCCAACCGTTGCATTTCCAAATTCTCCCGCGTGGTTCCCGACTTTACATGAGCGAATAAAGTGAATGTGATTGGTCGTTTATCAGGATTGATCGGGATTGTTGTGCCGGAAAGTTCGCAGGAAGTTTGATTGTGGGCGGTGTCTCAGAAGCATCTTGCTAACCAGTTAGCAATTTAGTGCTAGTAGGTTCCCAATGGGAAATTCCATTGGGACCAAGTAGCACTAAATTAGTGACTTAGAAACGACACTGTCAAGGAACGCTACGGACAGCAGAAACATGCAAGAGGAGGAGAGTTTTGTGTCGGAGGTCGTGGATGAGTCTCCTCCGTCATACATTTTTTATTTAGAGGAGGAAAGCGGGGACAAAGATGTTGTGGAAGAGGACGCCAGGGCGGCAGAAGCTTGGTTTGGTGTAGAAGGCTTCCAGTTGTTCATGTTTGAGCCCTTGCCTCGCAACGTGAAACAATACAAAATACAGAGTCTCGACACACAATTTCTCGTCACTAGATAAGTAATTCTCTTAAAACTGCACACTATAGCCTAATAAGTCTCAACAATTCGCTCTCCAACTATACTCCTGTAACTGTCACCACTATTTTGCGAAGATTGTTTCAACCTTTGGGTATATTAGCTGCGACATATGAATCGTGATGCTATGAGCGGAAAAATTGTATTGAAAGATGACCGTTGATATATGATTTGCCGAATTTAGGTGTTCAGTCTGACATAAATAACTGGCCTGCATAAAATAACGGAAAAAACAATAACACAGATTTCAAGACAGGATTTTTTTTTTTTTTTATAGAAATTTTCTATTTTTTGGGACAAAATGGTCTGATAAAGAGTACATTTATATACTTGTTTAAGCCAGAATGATTTGACATTTAAATATGATTTCCCTTCGACTTAGATGCTTACTGATGTTCCGTTAAAAGAAGAAAAATAGACAATCATTTAACAACTTTTTATGTTAAAATACATGACTGAATAAACACCATAGCCAACTCTGTTGCCACATAGATGGTTTGGATCAGGAAAACAAAATCTTTACATAAAAAACTAACATCTTTCTGTTATGAATCAAAACCATTTGAAGGCAATTCATTTTTTCCAAATATGCTAAGAGTCAGAAAAAATAAATTTTTACACTTAAAGATACTGATAATTTCATATCAAAGCTAATAATAGTATGAACATTTCCTCAGCAAAGTTATCCATAGACCAAATTAAAACCATGAGCTTTTACAAAACTGAACTCTTCTTACACCCAAATGATGAAAAGCCCTGACCTATCCAGCATTAAAATCCATCCCTCTAGCTTCACCCTTGTTCACCTCTCCTTTGAGGAGCACAGAGACAAGGCGTCTGCCTGAGTATGATGTATAATGTGAGAGAACAGTGACCCCTACATGCACCTCTGGCATCCCAGGAATGTGTTATGTGTGCCCAGCAGCAATCGTACAACTTTCCTAATGCAAAATCTTCTTTCCAATCACTGCAGATGCAACGGATCACAGGCGTGACACCAATGCAGTAGTTCTTCCAGAACAAATAGAGAAAGCAGGAAAATTACGGAAGGAAAAGGAAGTATGGCTGACATGTCTGTCTTCATGGCAGAAATAGTCATTTTAAGAAAAATGATCAAATAAGAAACGTAGATTAAGTCAACATTTCTGTGTGTTTCTGATATAATATCAGAGACACACCTATACCTCTGGCCTCAGTCTTGTTTTGGACTGCATGAGGAAGCTGGAGTTCCCTGGGTGTCAACCATGTGCAAATTGATTTTTTTTAGAGACTAATCAAACCAATCAAGGAGGATTGGCCTAACCGTATTTCCATATTAATTTTATGCAAATGATTGGGCCTTTTAATGCCTTTTTTAATGTCATGTTTTTAAATTTGCAGATGACACCATTATAGTTGGTCTGATTGACTGCAGCAGTGAAACTTTGCAAGGAGCCCAAACATAAATCAATCTCCTATATTACATTTTACAGCAGCCAAAAAGGTTTGAAGTTTCTAATGTGTGACTGCCAAAAAAAAAAAAAAAGATTTATTGAACTAGAACTGAAGCCATTTTATCAGGTTAAATGGATTATTCTTTAAATAAAATACTCCACTACTTAAGTCATCACGCAATCATTAACTGGAGTCAAAGGAGTTAAAACATTCTGCTCGATGACAGTCCTTTTAGAGCAGCAGATAAATAAAAACTACACCACAAATATATGCATTTCATACATATACATATATACAAACATATACTAGGGATGGAACGGTTTATGAAAACCGTCCGAACCGTTCGGTTCGACTGTCTCGGTTCGGTTCGCGTGTGTTGCGTTCGGTTCATGCGCTGCTCCTTTTTCTCATAGGGGAAGCGTGTTCACTCCAGAGCAGAAGGTGGCGGTACTGGTTCCAAAGCCAACCACCAGTAGTAAACAAGAAGAAGAAGAAGCGAAGCAGCGTAGCCGGGTGTAGCAGGAAAAAAATCAGTTGTTGTGGAGAATTGTGTGGGTATGGCGAGTGGGAAAGAACAGGCGTTGGAAGACGCGCCAGCAGCACTTTATAGGTCTGCTGTATGGGACCACTTTGCATTTAGAGTGACCTACGATGACGGCGGAAAGAAAGTTGTGGATAAAAGTGCAACAGTGTGCAAGCATTGTGCAACACGTTTTGTTTATGCTAACAGCAACATGACTAACATGTCATCCTAACCCCGAAATCCCTCATACTCCGTCATGCTCCCCTCCGCTCCGCCCCGCTGCGCTCCAGACCGCCTGCAAAAAGCAAGGCATACAGCCTCCACTGTGGCTCCCGTCCGCTCCGCTCTGAGTTCCTTGGAGATTGTAGAGGGCATGCGCCAGATGATTAAATTAATTAAAAATAATTACAATTCATTAATTTTTTTGGGATTTTTTCATTAATTTTTATGGGATTTCGGTGTAACAATCAACATATACCGAACCGAAAACCGTGACCACGAAACCGTGATCTGAACCGAACCGTAGATTTTGTGAACCGTTCCACCCCTAACATATACACACATGTATATATATATATATATATATATACACACACATACACATATGTACATACACATATATACATATACATACATACATACATACATATATACACTGTATACATATATATGTACTCATACACATATACTCGTGTGTGTGTATATATATATATATATATATATACACACACACATATATATATATATATATGTGTGTGTATATATATATATATATATATATATACACACACATATATATATATATATATACACACACACATGTATATATATATATATATATATATATATATATATATATATATATATATATATATATACATACTAACAGACACATCTGAGATCGAAGTCAGAATTCAAATGTCAGAATTCTGACTTTTTTTCCTCATGCTGAAATAAAATTTAAAACTCAGTTAACTTTTTTTTTCAGTGGCCCTAATCCTCTTCCGTACAAACTGGCATTGAGAAATGATTTAGTCAAGCTGGGTTTGTGGCATAAATATTAATCATTGAACTTTCCATCTGCCTGTGAGCGAGTTTTGAGTGGAACAGAAAGAGGAGGCAGCTCTGCTCCCATCGCAGACAGCCGTGAGCGAACACAGCGGCTAACGTTAGCTCCTGTTAGCCCCCGACCGCGGAGAGGAGCCACAAAAACAACCTTTAAATACTTTTATTGCGCCCGAAACCGTTTACTCACCCAGAAAAGCAGAAATAAACTTTTCCTGCTGCCTCGGAGGGCTGTCTGTTAACTTTCCTGTGCCTAGAAGAGCATGAGCGGGACAAGTTTGAGCAAACTGTCTGACATTAGCTGAAGTCTCTTACTTTTACCAGCGCCATGTTGAACAGGGAAAAAAGGTACATCCGGGAAACTTAACCGTGCGTCACCATGGCAACGGCTCCGCGTGGATCAGGCCCGCCTGGATTTTTGAATATTGCTCTCATTTCCGTCTTTCATGTTCTAAAAAAACTCACTCTGAGGACAGCAAAGGATTGTTTATGTTGAGAAAAAACGTTTAGCGACAAATCAGCTTTTATAGCTTTAAATTAAAGGGGAGCTAATGTAGTAATTTAATTTAAATTCACTTAATTTTGGTTATAAAGGCCAAACCACTTGGTGGGGGGAGGAGAATAACACAGGAGATTCCATTAAACTTAACTTTGATTATTTATCATACATAAAGCCATATATTATCTTTATCTGCAATGCAACATAATGATAATGCAATGCAGTTCAAAAATAATTATTTTTTGTTTGACAAAACAGATTAACAGCAGAATACTACAATACTACAACAATAGCTGAATAGAATAGAACAGAACAGAAAAGGAGAGAATAGAATAGAACAGAACAGAATAGAAAAGATAAGAATAGAACAGAATAGAACAAAATAGAATAGAACAGAATAGAACAAATGACAAAACAGATTAACAGCAGAATACTACAATACTACAACAATAGCTGAATAGAATAGAACAGAACATAAAAGGAGAGAATAGAATAGAACAGAACAGAATAGAAAAGAATAGAACAGAATAGAACAAAAAAGAATAGAACAGAATAGACCAAATGACAAAACAGATTAACTGCAGAATACTACAATACTACAATAATAGCAGAATATATTAGAATAGAACAGAACAGAATAGAAAAGAATAGAATAGAACAGAATAGAACAAATGACAAAACAGAATAACAGCAGAATACTACAATACTACAACAATAGCAGAATTGAATAGAACAGAACAGAACAGAAAAGGAGAGAAAAGAATAGAACATAATAGAATAGAACAGAACAACAGAATATAATAGAACAGAATAGAACAGAATAGAATATAATAGAACAGAACAGAATAGAACAGAATAGAAAAGAATAGAACAGAATAGAACAAATGACAAAACAGATTAACAGCAGAATACTACAATACTACAACAATAGCAGAATAGAATAGAATAGAAGAGGACAACAGAACAGAATAGAATAGAATAGAAGAGGACAACATAACAGAACAGAATAGAATAGAATAGAAGAGGACAACAGAACAGAATAGAATAGAACAGAATATAATAGAACAGAACATAATAGTCATTGCAAAATATGAGATTAAAAATCCTCTCCCTTTAAGGATAAGAGATGTACTGAAAATAAAAAACACATTTTGTGAAAAATCAATGTATTAACTGATACAAAAATAAATATTTCACAGATGACTATCATTGAACGGTCAATATGATGCTTAACAGTGATTAATAGTATGTTGCTCTGTGATTGGGCGGATACTTTGGGGGAGGACATGACTGTTTGGGTCAGTGCATATGACAGTTAGAAGCCGAAGGAAGAGTCATGACTCTATTTACTGTTTCATTTATTGATTCATTTACTGATTCATTTAGAGACAGAGCAGAGTAACAGATGGTACTTATATAATATCAGCCTCCTACTTATGGACAGGTCTCTATGTGTTTTGTTGCAGAAGCAATTTGGAAGTAAAGCAATGAGAACGCAACCTTTGATTCTGATTTAGCACCTAGACTTTGATGCTGTTTTGTATTTTTTCCCTTTTCTTAAACAGTCCTATGCATCTGTACCCCCTGCAGCAGGTGTGTAATAAAATGAACATAAAGTGAAGTAGACGGGGAGCATGAGGATTAATATGCAAAATTAAATCACAGCCATAAAATATAAGAAGTTTGTGACAAAGGGAGAAAAGATTCCAACTGAAAAATAATCTGCTGGAAATTGTTCATGAATAACAGGGTCGCTTTGCTGTGTAGAATAAATCAGTGAAACGATTCCTGAACCTGGCCAGCGTGCAGCAACATGGGGGGTGGTTACGAAGACATCTTCTAATGAGTCTGGATGTCTTCTTATTTAGCTGCTGAGATCATATTCATGTTTCTGACCACAAAGTGGAATGAAGTTTCCTCTGCCTCAGGGCAAGTGCTGCTGAAGGCTGAGGAAGATGATGGTGGTGACAATGATGATGGTGATATTGGATCTAACAGAAATTACTCTTTTCCTCCATTGACTAAAGAAAAACAGTGAGTAACAAAATGTTATTGAAGTTTTGAAGAAAAAAAATTAAATATACCTTAAAACAATAAATACAATTACCTCTTAGATGTCTGCTGTTTCACAATATCCAACACTGACCTCTAGTGGTCAAATAAAAACACAGCACCCAGCTGTCCTATTTCTACACACTTCAATTTGCTCAGGTGGACAAATAAATAAATGAAATATTCTGACGTTTATATTCACTTTGACTTTATAAGATATTGACATAATTTCAAATATATGAATATTTTTGAGTCTCGTTGAACTACAAAAGACAAAATCATATGTTGAATTTTATTATAGCATTGCATATTTTTCCTTATAAACTTGGAGATATATTTTATTGCATGTTGCATATCCCAGTAAATCTGTTTCACCTTTAAATCTGCAGCTGTCCCTAATTGTGTCTCTTCTCTGCTTAAAAGCAGATTTATGAACCTGTCTACCAATATAATGATGCCTGAGAAAATCATTTTCAGAATCTCTAGAAAATCTGCAGTCTGATTCTCCGTTCAATAAGAAAACAACAGATCTGTGTTCATTTTAATCTGTAACTCCGAGTATGGTCCTGTGAAGCCCAGCTTTTTTAACTCATAAATGTACAATCTGCTGCCATTTTTAGCTGAAAAAGGGCTGTATGTGTAACTAACGGATTTTTCGGTGGCGTCTCTGATTTTCTTTAACCAACCAGTGTCCTAACTTTTATTTAAACATATATCGGAGTAGCTGCCAGTTAAAATTCACTGAGTGCTGCTGCGAATTTATGTTAAAACGGCTTGCCATAGCGGGGTTCAGACGAAACCGACTGTATGTTATAATGGCTTGCCATATCGGGTATCTCTTTTCATCCTTGTAGCGACTCTGTATGCAGTGAATGTCCCCAAGCGACAGATCCGATGATGCCTTTTCCCTCCTCTCTGCTCCCTCTTAGTTTTTATTGGTTTATTATCCATTAATCATTAACCATAAACGGAGCATAAACCCGACCACCTCAAATTAAAAACTAAAAACCTCGGTGGATGGTGAGCTGAGCTACTGGCTGAAGAGGGAGAGACTTCAGGTTAACAGACAAAATCGGCCCCCTTTATGAATCCTAAAATCAATTATTTTGATCACGCATTCATTAAAATAACGAATTTGTGGGCGGGCCCAGCGAATGGGAACGCCCCCACACTGACGTAATCGTTCTATAAGGGCGTGGCAACGTTCTTTGGAACTTAGCCTTACTCAGCCAAATCATTTCCCTCAGAGGCATCGTTGCAGGTGGATCGAAAGGATTTTGTCCATGTCGACGATAGAAGGACTAAAACCCACATCAGAAATGGATTTTTCAAATCAAGAAATGAGCAGAAATATTTCCATTTCCATTCCAGACCTGGAGGAATTAATCCTCCCACAGCTGGATACATTATCTCCAACAGACTGGACCCTGCTTGTACAGGGTTTAAATGATTCACACATTACTGAAGTCCTCGCAGACATTCTCACCAAAATATTTCAGAAATGTGTGGAGCAGACGATAAAAACCCTACTTCCAACGATTGAAAAGATTATGGCTGATGAAACACAGCCTGAAACCATTGGAAAAGTCAATGTGAGATTAGGCAGCCAGATTTCAACAGTCTTTGCAAAAGTTATGCAAGTCAAACCAGAATTCAGTGCTGAGGGAGAAGAGTTAGATGCATTGATGGAACAGGAGGTCTCCGATAAAGTTACATTGGTGGTAAACGAGATCATAAAGACCCCTGAGTTTCCAGATGAACCAGTGGTATACGTCAGCCGAGGCTTCGGTAAACTGCAAAACTTTACAAAAATAGTTTCAAACTCAGGTAAATGTCTCAGAAAATATGTGAGCAGAGTCCGTTTTAATTTCCCTGAGAGATACTGGCATTCATTCACAAGGAAGAAGGTTTCAAATTTGGCTTCACACGAAGAAGAGACACCATTGCTCTCTTCAGAGGAACGTGTAATGACTCCGTCCTTGCAGGAGTTTGTGAGCAATAGCGTCGCTAGTATAATTTTTAATTCCACAGACGTCTTAGATGACGAAAAGCCAGAACAATTGGTTGATCCATTTGAAATAGCAGACCGGTTAGAGGAAATCAGCAAAACTGTCATAGAGGAAATCAGTCCAGCTGGAAAACCACAGAGCCCTTCAGGTGGGCCCGCTTTTAACACTGAAAAAATCGTGTTCCACCTCAAAAAAATTTTCAGATCAAGGCTCAGAACTGGCAACTCAGATGCAATCACCAAACCTGAATTCTCTGAGTTTGTCAAACGGCAGTTTAAAAACATGGTGGTTGCTCTGAAGAAAGCTTTACTAGCAGGTGAAACAAACGTGGTGAAGCTGAAGAGTATATGGTTACATATACTTTTCTTTGGATGTCCACCACAGGTTCCATCCTCCTCAGATGAGGACATCCCATATACACTGGACTACAAGGACACAAAATACATTCCAAAACCAGATTATCAAACCATCAAATCTCAAATTGACCGCTTGTGTGCAGAACCTTTGGAAAATCCATTCCTGGGTGACATGATCCAAGAATTTGCAAAGGAACTGACTGATCATTTATACTCAGACATCATGATGGAGCATTATAGTAAAATCCCGTCTCCTCCAAAAGGAAAGTGGCTGTCAGATTCTGTCTTCTCTCTGAAGAAAACTAGAGGCACCTCTGGGCAGATCAAAATTTGCCCTGAAGTTTTTTATGCCATAACTGAAGACGAGGTTAAGCTTTTCCTTGGAAAAGTCTTTCTTTGGATCAAAACAGAAGAAACAGAGGGGATAAGTGAAGGAGACAA